AGCAGGCTTCGAGTGGATCTTGAAGACACGACTGGAAAAACAACTTACGCCGAGTACGATTTCTTTGGTGTGGCTAGTGAGAATAGCAAATACAAACTGAGTCTTGGAACCTACTCTGGTATGTGTTTTGACGCTTTCCTTCTCCGACAGGAAGTTAAAAAGTTCTTCACACATTTTGGAAACGCAGTTTTAGGAACTCACCATTGTGTGACAGCACTATTTAACCAGGTAGCAGTTTATGCAGTTGAAGAGAGTTAATCAGTGTTTTAAAGTTTTAGTGTACGATGTCTATTAATTAGCATTTTGTAATAATTTTTTCCTTTTTAAATGATTTTGTAGGAACTGCTGGCGACTCTCTTTCCCATCATCGTGGTTCAGCGTTCTCCACCAAAGATCGCGACAATGACAAGCATTCTAGCAACTGTGCCAATGTACACAAAGGGGGCTGGTGGTTCAATGTTTGTCATCACTCCAACCTGAATGGGGTGTATCTTCACGGTCATCATTCTTCTCCCTGGAATGGTGTGCTCTGGATAGGCTGGAAAGGAGCAAACTACTCCGCTAAACGAGCTGAGATGAAAATCAAACCAGTTAAAAACTAGAACCAAGTGTACTTGTAAGGCTTTTAAATGGCATTAGCCACGTGATTCCTGAATTAAGTGAGCTTTTTTATAGCCTGAGTTTCTTGTGCCATTCTATGGTTGATGTGATCATAAGATCTAAAACGATTTCTTAATGGGTGATGGGTTTTTATTACTTGTGTACACCGAAGAGCATCTCGCTTCATTGTATGACTTATCAGGAAGCAATAAAACCTGCTGTTGTTCCATCTCATTGTCTGTCATGAATTATGAAACACTTGTCTGTTTCCCAAGCATCGAATATTTATTTTCATCCGATGATCGAACAAAATTTTCGGTCGTTTTAGTCTGGTACCAAGCTGTTAAATCAAGTTACTCACCCGATTTGAGGGAATAGAAAGTGCATAGTGTCAATTTCCTTAATGGTCCTTAATTCTGCTGCAAGGTCAAATTTGTTTTCTTGTTCAAAAACATAGCCATCAGTGTCCTTCCCATACAAAAAAGTTTATATTTACAGATTTCAAATTTTACACAGCCTATTCACAATAACAGAATGAAAATGCGTTTAGATTAACAATGCCTTTGCATTCTGACTGGGATTTCTTAGTCGTTGGTAACTTTTATGTACAGCAAGAAACCAGATGGGCTCATTTACTCGACTGACGTTATTAACCTGACACTGAAATTTCTTCAAATGTTGTTTATGTTGAGCTTGGATCTGACTGAGAGAATATAATGCAACTTGTAGGAATGGACTCCATTCCTACAAGTTGCATTTCAGGTCTTTCAGCATGTTTTCTGCCGTGTAATTTGATTTGGTACAGAAGCTTAAGAGCAACATAAGTTCGAACTTAGGGACGTTCGCGCGAAAATTTTCTTGCCGATAGATTTTTTATTTCATTTTTACTGCAGTCAGATAATGAGTTACTTGTGTCAGAAATGCAAAAAAAAATTGGGGGTCACTGATTTCGTTTCAGAAATAAAGCGTGTGGAAAACTACCCTGACTTTGAAAAATTGGCACACGTAATTCAGCATGGTCTACATGGGCTTATATTTAGAGTTCAAGGTATCGAAGGAGAGTCAAGGGAGGCAAACGATCTTAGTCATATTTTGTAGAAGTGGATCTGTTGCGTTAATAATTCCAAATGTTGCCAACATTTATACAAAAATCAACCCTTCAGAGACATTTGAAACCGCCACACAGATAAAACATGCGAAGAACTGAAAAGAACGGAATTTGATGGTGCATTTTGCAAAAAATTTAAACTTCTAATCGATAGATTTTTTTCATGTTTTCACTAAACGTAGAAAAATAGGAGTCATCTAACTTCCAGGATCGTTAACTCCAGGAAAAGTTAGAGCAACGACCATCTACCCTACCATTTTTCATTTTATTACTTAGCGCGCGCTCGACGCATGACGTGGCGTCTGAATTTTCTTGCGCAGTAAGGATGCGCACAAACAAACGTCCAACCTCGTCCCCAGAGCCTTCGCCACTTTTCAAAATGGCAGATGGGAGAATAACCTGCACAAGGCTGAACTAACACCCTTGCCGATTGGCCCATTCATACGAACAGGCCGATTGTTTTCTAAATCAGTACTTATTAAAAATATGATAAACATAAATGATAAATATTCAGCCTCGGCCAGAAAAACAACATTACCATTAGAAAAAGAGTGTATTACTAAAATGCAGGCTATCCCTTTGTACTCGACTTAGGCCTATTATTTCTAATGGTAATGTTGTTTTTCTGGCCGAGGCTGAATATTTTCATTTTTCTTCCGGTTTTAGGTTGAAAATATTATATTCGTTGATTATAGCATATGAAAATATGTTGTCAAATGTATTTGGTGTCTGAATGGTGTTAAAGTAATGTTAGAGCCAGCCTACAGCCAGTAATGGCTTATCCACACAATGCACATAACCTCTTACGGAAATGTTATTAGCATCGACTATATGGCTAGTGCTAGTGTTATCGTTGCTTTTTTTATTGTATTTACGAATTTTCAACACACAAATATATATTCTTTTCAAAATGTCAGCCTCAGCCTCAGTTTTATTACTAAAATATTCCTAAAATTTTGCAAATTTCAGCCTTGATGTTTTTATAACATATATTATTATAAAAAAAGAGTGTAGGTGAAGGATATCATTTATGTTTATCATATTTTTAGTAAGTACTGATTTAGAAATAAATGCAAAGGAAGGGAATTGAATTTATTGTCTTTTTCCTGTCTGGCCTCCTCCGGGGTCTCCGCACTGCGTGAAAAAGGACGTGTCGTTGGCCGGAAATCCCACTATGCGGACCCGTATCCGGGAGTTTCGTGTTCCATCAAACGCCACATGTCCGCCGCGTGTCAGGAACCGTATTTTTCCCAATGCGGACTTTTTCCGTGGCAAGGGGAAAATGCGGTCTCCGATACCTCACTGAAACATGGCGTGTCAAGGCCTGGAAATTGTGTTATTCGTCCTGATTTGCTACGAATAACGGCATACCGCAGGCGAGCACAACCGATCAAGTTGAGTATTTTTACTCTCATCGCGTGTTATTATTTTTGGGTTTCGCACGAGGTTCCACGGCACTACAAGTTTTTGTAACGGGAGTCCGGTACCAGAACTCCACGGTACGTGAACTGTCGATATCGGATATTTCACGGTACGTGAAGTGTCACTCGAGATTCCCCTATCGGATATTCCATGGTACGTGAAGTGTCACTCGAGATTCCCCGATCGGATATTCCACGGTACGTGAGGTATCATTTGGGATTCCCCTGTCGGATATTTCACGAAACGAAAGGTAGTTGAATGAAGTGTGAAGTGTGANTATTCCATGGTACGTGAAGTGTCACTCGAGATTCCCCGATCGGATATTCCACGGTACGTGAGGTATCATTTGGGATTCCCCTGTCGGATATTTCACGAAACGAAAGGTAGTTGAATGAAGTGTGAAGTGTGAAAAGGCCATTGATAACAATGTCCAATAAATGTAATAACCAAGCTTAACTTTACATCTAAGACCTTTTATTGGATAACACAATTATTGCATGTAAGGATGTTCAATTCGTGTGCACAACAACGTGATTATTTAAACAAAGACTATTTTTCAGAGTTGAAAATTGACATTTTAGTACACTGTACCTACCAATAACTATCATTTTAAAATACTTCTCCCTAATATATAACAAATTGTATCTTCGTACATGTATGGTCAGAAACCAGACAAGGATAACATTCTTCAAGAACTATTCCTTGGAAACAACTGCAGTTCAGAATCCGCCACCAACATAAATCCGCATTATTATATTAACTGGAAAGTTCCAAATTAATGGGAAAAGTTACATGTACTTGTAATAATTTTACATGCATTAGTGGGCACTTTGTCATTTTAACCATTGATGAGTATATAGCTGTGATAATACGATAAAAGTCCAGTGCTGTTAAAAGGCAATCTGGCCAATTAACAAGTAGTTATAAAAAACCAAGAACATATAATTCTTTTCCATCTATAAGAATGTATCTTCATTATCATTGCAATAAATCATAGAAGTAACTCAGAACAGAGACTTTGCTTTGCCATCAAATGGATTGATTAACAGGGACCGCGGAGACCATTTTAAGTGTTAGGGCTGAAAAATATGGGCAGGGCAACCAAGCATTGAGAGTCACTGTTCCGCTATTCAAGTTGTAAAATTCGTTAACTATCCATGTCATCTGCAGCCTAAAAGAACCACTCCAAGCAAAAAAGTGGTAGGGCTACAGCCCTACCAGCCCCTCCCCCTGTGCGGTCCCTGATTAAAAATTATAAATACTGCTATGATATAAAAAAGTAGGATCCAGTACTACTAAAAGACCAACAGGCACTATGTTATGCACTGCTTTGGGTGATTTTGTCTTATACAGCCTCAACTTATCATGGTTCTCAACAACATAAAGCAGTGCATGTAGTTCAAACCAAAAGAACAAGATCAATTTAACACATCTTTCCTTGCAAAAAGTAATTGTGCACAATAATATTTGATGTAATTTCAGATTTCAAATTTGAATTTTAATTATTGGTGAATGGAAAAGAACACCAAAACAGTGCAACTTAGCCATCTAATGGTCATGCACGCTTGATTCTGCGCCGTTTCACTGCTGGACTCTCTACATGGTCTAAAATATGGCATTCGCCACCACTTTCGTTGTCCTCATCTTCCTCGCTACTGAAGTTACCCCTCTCAGGAGAACGTAGGGATTCTGGATAGGGAGAAAGTGGCTACGGGGAAGGATACCTTGGATTGCTGTCTCTGTCAAGAGTACCTAAAGTCCAAGCAGGATATGAAGGTGGCTGAGGACCCGTGCTTGGTTCTCCAGGTAGCCTGCTGTTCTTTGGGTGGGGGGAACCAGACAGTGATTCAACTTTTCCCTGGAGTTTTTTCAGCAAGGATGTTAACTCTGGGCTGCGCTATGACGGAGACCTTACAATCCATGACCCTGCTGACTTCCTTCTCCAACTTCTTCCTCACTCATGAAACTGGGGTCCAGTTGAAGCAAAGCCTGCTTCTTAGACTTTTAAGCGACTTTCAACCTCTTGATGGAGAGCTGCAAGGAGACATTGCATTTTAATGAGTTACATGTAGTAGAAATACCAATTTAAAAATGGTGTTTAAGGTTCCTACAGTGCACTGACATATCTTGTTTCAGTCCTCATACTGTGCAGCTTTTTGAGTTTTTTTCTTTAATTCAAAGAAGATATTAAAGTTTGTTACTACTGTCAGTGAACCAAGCACAAGCAAACGTGCTGTGATTAAATGGGTAACTATGGCAAATGACAAAGACAGACACTGTACTGTTTAGGACAATTATATCTTGAGTGATACAACTAAGTATGTTTCATTTCAAATTTCTATGTATTAGACTAGTGCCCGGTCCTTAATGAAACCCCTGCCGTCTTAGACCCTTATATTTTCAAAGGAAGCTAAAAATTAAAATTCAATATTTGTTTTCCGTTTTGTGGCTCTTGCTTGGTCAATAAGGGACCGTTTATTTTTTATGAGGGAGGGGGGGGCTGGTGGGATTTGGGAAGCACCATTTA